GATTTGAACCAATCAAATGAGTAGTAGGTACGGTGCCCCATTTTTTAAATGGGTACCGGAGTTGTCACCGTTAATTTATTAGCTCATTGAGAAATGCCAAAGAAAGCGGAAAGAACCCCCTAAACATTAGCGTCAACTCATTTCAATGAAAGCAGAAAATTCAAAATCACTCCACCACACTTACAACTAAAGGCTTGTTTGGAAGTTTACATGTTAAATCTTTGCACACGAAATGATAGCATGTAATGTTTAGAGAAACAATCACTTTACATGTAAAAAGATTACAATGATTAGCTAGATTTGTAATTTATTTTTGAGTTGCACGCAAAAGCGTTGTAGTGCTCTATAAAAAGCATGCAAAGTATGTTACTATTTCCACATAAAATACTTCAAATGGTATAATGGGAAATGGTTTTCAAATGCGACTTACAATTTACGTTAATAATCAAGTCAAACGGTGTAAACTTTTTGCGTCCCTACACTTGGCATTTTTCTCAATGTCTATCTCAAGAACTAAAAGAGAAAGGGTGTGTCCTGTGTGGGATGGGAAACCATACAATCATAAGGTAAATGAATACTCCCACACTAAAAGAGAAAGGGAGTATATTGTTAGAAGCTAAGTCTGCCTCAAACAATCACAATTTATGATTGGATATTTTATGCTCAATGATTCATAAAGTTGTGAAATCATTATACAATAATATGATTTGTCTTTATTAATAATTGGTGTCAAAATAAGATGTTTAGTAGTTAATCAAGTATGTGACTTGATTATATTGTGGAATGTCACACATTGCTATAAGCATAATATTTAAATTGGTCCGTAGTACTCCTCACGTTTCTAAAAGAAACTCACACTTTCTTTTTTGAGATGTCTCAAAAATAAAGTCACACTTCCCTTATTTCTTTATTTGACAAAGAAATCTACATCCAAACAGTGTCAAACAGTGCTAAACAATGTATAAACAGTGTTTTCTACAATAAAGTCAATTTATTTCCTTAATAATCGTGAAGTCAAACCGTGACTTTCTTTTGAAAACGGAGGGAGTATGATATATCGTTATGGGAAATTGATGATTTTAGGACCCATTTGCTCATAGACATGTTTCTGTGTTGGTGTTGTTGCGGTAGGCTTATGATGTGGGCATTACTTTGGGGTTGACTGGTCTTCAATTTCTACCAACCATACACCTATGTATATAGTTAGAAAGAGAAACGGAATTGGGTTGGGCCAGAGCCCACTACAATACACCAATAAATCTTTCCATGTTCTCATACTTGAGAGTTGAGACATCATGATTACCAACATGAGAATTAAAATGTTTTAGCATCAACATACCAAAAGTCTTTTTCATGTATTGTTTATGTTCTGCTATCATTTCTTTTTTCCTCTTTTTTTTACTCTTTCATCAAAATCTTGTTATATGAGTTTGCACCTATGTATAGTTATTAGTTTGATACTGTAGTGTTATATTTTCATGTGACAGTGGTTTAAAGATAAAACACAATAGTATTTTTTATATTTCGTAACGGTTAGTCGACAACATACAAGAATTGCACTGCTATGATACTATCAATTCTTACATGAGTTCTTCAAAAACATTCTAGAGCCGAATCGATATTGGATTACGGTTCTTCAAATGTTTCCTAATTTTCTTTAAAGAACCGAACAAATCTCACCCATACATTTTTCTTCGTAAGATAATATATAAGAAATCATTTTTCTTAAGTTTATCTCGTGTATCAGTATTTATGTCGAGTCTCATTGTTCAATTTTATTTACCGTAAATTGATTAAAAAATCATAATTTAATTTTCAAACCTTGCATATCGAGACCATCTTGGTACTCAGTTCTCAACCCTATACTAGTCCAGGACTGCTTGGCTAGTCTGTGATCCTAGATAAAAAATTAGCAACATCTAGTCTGATTTTGGAACTGGGTCTATGCGTACTTATGACGAGTAAAAGACAAAAGAAAAGGTGCATGAAATTTTTTGGTGAAGAGAATAAATACGACCGGCCAATATAATACTCCATTCGGTCCTAAATAAACTTCACAATAATATTCCCTCAGTTTCATCTTTGAGGACAAAAGTGTTGAGGAGGAGTGTTTTGATAAGTAACTATGATTAACCATATGGTGATGCCAACAAAATATTAGTTAAAGTCTGTGTCTGTTAGTATAATTGTTGTGTAATATGTTTGTTAGTTCAAGATCAAATTATATAATATAGTATACGAAGGAAGTTTAAAACTAAAAAAAAATGATATTTGCAAACTTCATTTCACCTTCCTTCTATATCTCATCTATGTACATCATTTTTCTTCCCATTCAAGTTAATTTTGACTAGCTCTTCTATCACCATAGCTAGCTCAAGTTAGCTCGGAAGTAGAATCTATTAATTAGATAATCCATTCCACATCATTTTCCAAGGTTTATGGATTTCAAGTGATATAGGGGTGTTTGGATCCGATTCTTAAAACTGTTTCTGCTCCTTCAAGGAGCAGAAGCAGAAGTTGGAGTCTTTGAGTGAAAATGCAGAAGTACTTCTAGTGCTCTAATTTACATCTAGAATCGGTTTTTTTAGAAGCTGAAGGTACCACCTTCTGAAAACTGATTTTGGTTCTAGTTCTACTTCTTTTTTAAAGCAGTTCCAAACACCCCCATACTACCATAAACTAAGGTTTATGGTTATGAACTTTTGTAGCTACGGGAGCAATTTAGTTTTTTTTTTGGCAAAACAGAAGTAATTTAGTTATTTGAGTTAAATTTTTATTTATTAAAATTGAATTTAATAAATGCCAATTATTCAATATTTATTCCAATTATTCCATAGCTTCACTAACCAATTGAGGACCTGTTTGGTAACACCCAAATCGGCTGCATTGGCTGATTTTGATGAAATTTATGAAGTTCTGACTGAAGTGACTAATTCTGCTGAATTGTAAAAAAAATCATTGAAAATATATTTTATTAATTAAATAAAGAAAATATTATATGAAAAAATGGCTAAAATGGTCATTTATAGTAACTTCAACCAATACAGACATAAAAGTAACTTCAACCCTACTTTTTCTTATTATTACATAATTCAGCACGTGAAATAAAAATTTACGTGTTTGGTGAAAAAGTTGGCTGATAAGACTGAAAAACAAAAAATCATGGTTACCAAATGGGCTCTGATCAACGTGACCCAAGAGATAAGTGCAAACAGTGACAGTTCGTATACCGTGGGAGCAGCCCACGGTGAGCATGCTGCTCCCACAGAAAAAAAAACGTGTTACTATTCACGCGCGTGAACAGTAACTTCATTTTTGTTTTTTCATTGTCCCAGTAGCGGAATAGGTGTAACTCGCGTGTAACAAAATGTAACTCACGCTAATAAGAAATGTAACAATAAGCAAGTTGAAATGTAACTTGTCTAATACGAATTATAAGAAATAAAACATTGATTTTAATGAATACAAGGAGTCTAATTGCTCAATTACTTTATTTAAATAGTTTATATGTTTTGTTTTAGTATTAAAGACATAAAAATGTTTTTTTATCTTTTTTTGCCAAAAAACCATTTTTTGGCCAAAAACTCATTTTGATTTTGTAAAAAACAAGTGAATTTTTTTATTTAACAGCAAGGGTTAACATAAATGGTGAATATATATTTTTTAATATTAAGTCCATAAAATTATTTTCAAATTATATTTTTTGCCAAAACACATATTTTTTTGGAAACGTTTATTTTTTTGCATAACAATGATTCTTTTGTTTCAATAGTAGGCTTTATGTTGTGATGTAATTCGTATTACAGAAAATGTAACTCGCGTTGATTGAAAATCTAACTTTAGTGTATGCAAATTAAAATGTATCTTGTTAAGGAAAACTCAAATGTAACTCGCGTATAAAAAGATGTAACTCACGCACAAGAAGATTTAAATCGTGCATAAGAAGATGTAACTCCATATAATATCAAATTTAATTATAGAAATTGTCTATAAATATAACTCACACATACAAAAAATGTATTATTCTCATGTTTTTTTCAAATTTAAATCGAAATAAACAGCCTTAATGTCTATAAAACACAAAAAACATATAAAAGAGATGAGAAAAATATTATAGAAAAAAGTACATGAATGTAAAAAATATTTTACAAAAAAAGTGTATAATAAATATTAAAAAAGTATACAAAGTAAGAAATAGTGTATGAATATGACATACAATATACTTATTTCATGTGAATAAATAAAATTTTGTATTAAATTGGTAAAGAAAAAAATTAATTCAGTTAGAATTTAATTAGTTCAAGATAAAGATAAGTAAACTATCACAAATAATTAGATGTAACTCGCGCATAAAAGTATGTAACTCGCGTATAAGAAGATGCAACTCACACATAATAACATGTAACTTGAGTATAAGATGATGTAATTTCGTATATTATCAAATGTAACCCAAGCTAGAATCAAAATAAACAAACTCAATAAAAATATTGAGTGTATGCATATAAATATATATTACAAAAAATATATGAATATAAAAAGATATTACAAAAAATAGTGTATGAATATGAAATGCAATGATCTTATCTTATTTAGATTATTAAACTTTTTGTTATGTATTGATAAAGAATAAAAAAATAGATTCAATTATAATTTAAATTGAAGATAAGAAAAATTAAAACTGCAATTAAATTTTTAACATTTTAATTTGATGGAAATGGAGAAGAATTGAAGAAAAGAAAAATAAATAAAGAATAGCAAAAAAAGGGAAGGAAGAAGCTCTAAGGAGAAAAGAAAGCAACGTAACTTGATAAAAGTGAGATCGGCACACCATGCGGAAGGTGGGCCGATCCACGGTATAATTTGTCAAACAGTGATGTTTCATTTTAAGGCCCGATACTGTATATCTGGACGGTCCAAAATTACAAATAATTTCAAATTTTAAATGACTTCAAACGGCACACCAAGTGGGACATATGTCCTGATTGATACGTACGAGAACTGGAAGGTAAGCACTACTTTTGAATTGAAAGAAGTTCCTGTTGGCGCTGATTTTTTTTAAACCAGCCAGCTGCTCCATGGAGGAAAGCACCAGTTCCTGGTCGAAAGCACCACGGCCATCTACCCAGCTTCCGGGTCCTAACACAGAGCAAGAAGGAGGTATTAGGGTTAACAGAACAGATAGAACACCAACAAAGCCTAAGCCTGTCAGATATGTAGATTCAACAACTTCACTTAAAACCCCAGTCAGGGCTCCATCTAGAACAATGGCAAATACGGGTACTCCTAGATCTACAAGGAAAGCAACTAGGCCGAACTCAGAGTGCAGTTCTACTCAATGCACGCCAACTAAAAGCGTGAGTAAGCCGCCAAATCCGGGCTTGTATCTAACTAGCGCCTCCAGGCTCCCGGCTAACGGGGGCGCTCGAATGACCAGTTACATGCCACTGTCTAAGGGGCTCGTAGTTAGCTCTAGTTCACCGAATGTTGTTAATACCGTTGATGTGCCACATTTTGAACTCAAGGAAGATCCATCTTTCTGGATGGAGCACAATGTACAGGTGCTGATTTACTGTTTTTCTTTGCCTTTTCTCCCAGGAATTTATTTATGGGTTTGAAATCTTTCTGTAGAGTATGGCTAGGGGTTACATTTTAAAGGCTAATTATTTGGTTGCATTGAATGAGCTTATACAGGCGTTGATACGTGTGCGGCCTCTTAATAGCATGGAGAAAGGTAGTAATGGATATAATAGGTGCTTGAAGCAGGAGAGTGCACAGTGCATTACCTGGATTGGGCATCCTGAAACCCGGTTTACCTTTGATCATGTGGCTTGTGAATCACTAGATCAGGTCTTCAGAAAGAAAATATCTTTCTTTGCTTGCTGTCTTCTGCTGAAGTTATTAATATTGTATTTGAAAGTTTCTTATGCCTTATCTATTTTTTTTGCAGGAAACCCTTTTCAGGATCGCTGGTTTGCCCATGGTGGAAAACTGTTTGTCGGGATATAATAGCTGTATTTTTGCTTATGGACAGGTGATGCATATAATAAATTACACATGTTCTTGCACTGATATTTGAGTTCATACTCTGCTTTGCTTTTCTGCAGAACTAATAACAGTATTTTGATACGAGTAACTTGTATTGTAGACCGGAAGTGGGAAGACTTACACGATGCTAGGTGAGATAGAAGAGCTAGAAATCAGGCCAAGCCCCCACCGTGGAATGACACCACGCATATTTGAATTCTTGTTTGCGAGGATCAGACTGGAAGAGGAAAGCCGAAGGGAAGAGAGGTTGAAATACAGCTGCAAATGTTCTTTTCTAGAGATATATAATGAACAAGTTACAGATCTTCTGGATCCTTCATCCACAAATTTGATGGTAAACTGTGAAGTTGTTGGAATAATTTCATTCATTAGATTGTTTTGTCATTATATACTGAACATTCTACTTACAGTTACGTGAAGATACCACAAAGGGTGTATATGTTGAAAACCTATCTGAATTTGAAGTTCAAACAGTTGGAGATATTCTCAAGCTTTTGAGTCAGGTGTCTTGTTGTTTAGTGTTCATAAAATCAAGCTCTTCTGTTATAATACATGCATCTATTTTGCTAACTACTTAAACTAATCATGTTTTATTATTCAACTTATTTCTCAGGGATCTTCTAATAGAAGAGTTGCTGCAACAAACATGAACAGAGAAAGCAGCCGATCCCACAGTGTCTTTACCTGCGTGATTGAGAGCAGTTGGGAAAAAGATTCCACCTCCAACTTCCGTTTTGCAAGACTCAATCTGGTTGATCTTGCTGGTTCTGAGAGGTAGAAAAATAGTGCACAAATATCATGCTTTACTTGTCTACCTGTTCTGCTTCATTTGTATCCACGTGACTGTTAAATAGGCAAAAGACTTCTGGTGCCGAGGGTGAACGTCTAAAAGAAGCAGCGAATATCAACAAATCATTATCAACGTTAGGGTATTTTTCCAGTACTATCAACTCTGTTATGATCAAATCTGTCTACATAATTAATTAACTCCACTTTGTCCAATTTTCTTCTGCAGACACGTGATAATGGTTCTAGTTGACATTGCACATGGAAGACCAAGGCATATTCCTTACAGAGATTCAAGATTGACATATCTTCTTCAGGTGAATTGCAAACAGTTCCTATTTGTCCATAGTCTTAAACTGTTGAGTTTTTAAGATAAATTCTTAATACAGGACTCTCTTGGGGGGAACTCAAAAACAATGATCATAGCCAATGTTAGCCCTTCCATCTGGTTGGTATATTGATGCCTTCTTTTTTCTTTCGCCTGACTCCGATTATTATCACGGTTTTTACTTCTCTTTCTTTCAGTTGTGCTGCTGAAACACTCAACACATTGAAGTTTGCTCAGCGGGCAAAACTCATTCAGAACAATGTATGCGCTAGTTTTCTTAATTTTTAATGACAATAAATGTTACTTTTTCTGAAACATGTGTCATTTAGCTTACCTTGTTTTTCTTTCCATTTTGAAAAAAATCACAAAGGCTTTTGTGAATGAAGACTCATCATCAGATGTTGTGGCATTGCAACACCAGATTAGACTTTTGAAGGTGGTTAAAAGATCTCTTTGTTCATTTAGGAATTAATTGGGAATAAATCAATTCATAAATTAAACTGACTGTAAGGCTGCTCGAAACAGGAGGAGCTCTCTTTGCTGAAACGTCAGAACATTTCCCGCTCATTGTCATTTAATGCAGCAGGTAATGGACAAAGGCAGGATGAGTCCTACAACATTCTGACAACATCAGCTCAGCAGGTGCCAATATTTTTTTGTTTAATTATTTTTAAATCTTTAATTGCAATTTGCAAAGCAATTATCTGTATTTGCCTGTAACCTGCATTTTCTTTTTATTCCATTATCTTTGTAGTTGAAATCACTGGAAACTACACTAGCTGGAGCTTTGAGGAGGGAACAGATCGCTGAATCATCTATCAGACACTTTGAAGCAGAAATCGAGCAACTGACCCGCCTGGTATGCATCCTCTTGAACACTGTATATATTTGTACGTCAGGGTTAAAAATGGCAAGGTTTAGTGCTCTTTCTTAATAAATAAATCTGTTTTTGGTTCAGGTTTCCCAGAGAGAGGAAGACACCAGGTCCACAAAGATGATGCTCAAATTTAGGGAAGACAAAATTTATAGGATGGAGTCTCTTCTCAATGGATTAATACCATCTGATACATATCTGCTGGAAGAAAACTGTGCACTTGCTGAAGAACTCAAGTTGGTTCGGGCTAAAGTAGACAAAAATCCTGAAGTAACTCGCTTCGCCCTTGAAAATATTAAGCTTTTGGAAAAACTCAGAAGGTATACATTTTAAATACTGAAATAGTCTGATTTTCTCCTTGTTTCATTTATTTCCACCCCCTCTCAAGTTTCTTTTTCTTGAACTTTTTAGATTTCAAGATTTTTATGAAGATGGGGAGAGAAATATGTTATTAGCTGAAGTTTCTGAATTGCGAGATCAGGTACCTCAAGACTCTAATGGTATTGTGACTTGCGAGTGCTCCATATTTCGCACCTCTGAAGTGTCATTTCTAATACAAAATCTATATCTAACAGCTACTGCTCTCTCTTGATGGGAACTTGAAACTTCATCATCATGTTGGCATGAATATTCCTTCCGAGGTAATCATTTAAGTCAAATCTTCTTCCTTCACTTTTAATACATTGCATAGAGCATGTTTTCTCCCTTTGCTTATTATTAATGAATTAATGAATAGTGAATACTCATTGCAGGAATCTATACATGTCAGTAAAGAAGAAACGAACTCACTCCGCGTGGAGGTAGGCTTTTCATATTTTTTTTTGACAAAAAGAAACCAAATTTTATTAAAAAATTGATAGCAATACATGCGCTAATGAAAGAAGAAAGCTAAAGCAATAAAGAAGAATAAACTAAGTTAAGGACAACAAACTAAGCTAAAGATTAATTGAGGAAGCCTGAATAGCAAGTTTTTTCTGGTAAGTAAAATATTATGAAATAATTGAGGAACCTAGTTTCTCATTCATTTTTAATTCTTGCAGTTAAAAGAGACTCTCTCTCAGTTAGAAGAATGCAGGTCGAATCTGAACACATGCTTGGAGAAAAATGCAGAACTCAGTAGGTAAAACTTCTTTTGAATCCTCTCTCGACAATGGTTTTGCCATATCAAATGAAGATTCGATTTGAGTTTTCAACTGTCTGCAGAGAAATTGATGACTTGCGTGCTACACTTGGGGGGAGGGGATCTTCAGTTTTAGATAGTGGTGCTGAAGTTATAAAGGTACTTTTCCCAAGGGAAGTTATAAGAACACAACTCATCTAGAGATTCAAGACAAAAAAGTTATAATAATTTACACCGCTCATTTGCAACAATAATCAAGATACGATTTAGTTTAGTATGAGTATAGAAGTGCATAAGATGCTGCACTTTAAGTTTTGATACGTGACAAAATAACGATGTTTCAGGAATCTATATCAGAAGCTCCTCTGAACAACTACCAATCCGTGGTTATAGCTCAGGAAGAGAAGCCAGACATAAGCTTTGATAAAATGATTCTCAGCTTGTCAGAAAAGATCATTGACTTGCAATTAGAGTTGGACATTTCAAAAGTTCTCCTTCAAGAAGAAAAGTCATCGCAGAATGAAGTGGAGGAAAGGGCACTGTCTTGGAAAAGTGATCTAGAGTTATCAAAAAATCACATTCTGTTAGTAAGAAAGCAATATAAAGATGTCCAGGAAGAACTTGAGGAAGCAAAGTCCATCATTGAGGCTCTTGAGTCTCAACAAATTGAAGCAATTAATGAGCTGGAGGATCTCAGAAACAGTAACAATTGCTATGCAGAACTTCTGCACAAACAGGAACTTGAAATCTCTTCTCTAAAGGAGAAGGCCTTTTCTCAAGATCTCTCATCCTTTAAAGTCATAGAAAGTGAGTATTCTCCTTTGCAAGCCAAGCTCCAAAAGATGGAAAATTCTCTTGAGAAGGCAAGAACACTGAACACATGGTACCAAAGTGACAATGCTTTACAAGCATCAAATGCAGAAGAAATGGATGAAATACGAAGGCAAGTCGAGGGTGAAACTGCTGAAGTGATTCTTTGCCTTCAAGAAGAACTTTCTCTTCTTCAACAAGAAGTCCAGGCTAGTCAATTGAAGCAAATGGATAGTCATGATAGGTTGACTCAATTACAGTTAGAAATTAAAGAACTTGAAGGAAAAAATGATCTGATCACTGAGGATAACAGAATATTGAGAGGAGCTTATGAAAAAAAAGAGAGAGAATATCAAATTCTGCTTGAAGAACTGGAGCAAGTAGACAAAGAGATGGCACAAATTCTTGGTGGGGGACAAGCTTCCCTGGAAGATGCATCTGATCAACTTGATTTAATAACCACTTCACTTCCACAAAAACGAGCAAGTCGGGTATCAGATCATTTTGGGAGGATGGGGAAATACATTTTCGAAAAGGATTTACTTATAGAAGATCTAAACCGGAGTCTTCATGAAGCTCTTGACAAAAGAAATGATGTTGAATCCATGCTGAGGTCTTTAAGAGGAGCAGTTTTGGTTATGACTGAAGCTCACCAGCAACAGTGCAGCATCAAGGATGAAGAGATCATTCTGTTGACATCACAACTGAACTCTAAAATACATGCTATCTCAGAGATTGAGAACAAAGTCAAACAACTGGAGGGTCAACTAAGGGGAACATCCACTTGTGCCACGTCAGCTTTTGTGGTTGTTAACTGGTTGTCTGAAGCAAATATGCAAAAGGATAAGTTCTTTGGAAAAGAAGCTGGCCAACAGGTAGAATCTCTCAAGTTGGAATTACAGGCATCAGAGAATACATGCATTGGACTTAGGAGGGAGCTGTTGGAATATAAGAGACATGAAGAGCTCATGGAAACCATGGAAACACTTGAAGAATTGAAAACTGGCGTTTCTATTGTAAGCTCCTGCATGCATGAACATGCAGAAAGGGAAGGGAGATTTGAGAGAGACAACACTATTGAAATGCGGGTATAGAATTGCTTATTGTGTTAGATTGTACCTTGCTGATAAAATTCAAATTGAATCCATTTTACCTTTTAATCGATTGATAATATTTTTTCTGGGCTTCTAGGTAATAGCCTCATTGGCGTATCCATATTCTAATTAAGTTTTATTGTAAGCCTGCAGACATTTGGCGATGCAAAACAATATGCTGACTCCAGTAAGGATGTGGAAACCGAACACAAAGAAGGCACTTCCCAAATCCATACAAGTTTAGCTGGCCAGAAGAACTTGAAGGGCACAAATGGAAGAGATGATACTATAGCTCTTCTCAAGCAGGAAATTGTATCTGCTCTTAAAAGCTTGAAAGAAGTGCAAGCTGAGATATCAAGACTACGTCTTGAGAAAGAAGAGGTCTGCAAGGCTGAAAAGCAGACTCGGGATAGTATTGAATCTCTTTTTCATCCAATAGTTGCACTAGATACCTCCATAGGGTACTTTGAAGAAGAAGTCAAGCTTAAACTGGAAGAGTTGAGCGCAAAGCTGCAGAAAATTGAAAATGTGGCGGAGGAGCAAAGAACTTCATGGTTTGAGCAAAAAGAGGTAGACCATCTAGCTCCCTCTTTTTCATGGAATTACTCACTCCACCCCAAACTATTAGACGTTTTAGCCAATTATGGGATGTCCCAAAAGAGTTGTCTTTTAGGAATTCAATGCATATTGTTTTTACTAATCTTCCAATGCTGTCCATTTTACCTCTCCTACATTAAATGATTTTGTACCTTGAAAAGAATAAAAGTAATTAATATTTGTTGAATATTATATTAATGCTTAATGTCTAGTTTGTCCTTTTTACTTTTGTTATAAATAAATATAGGTTGTAACATTTCATTAATAGAATCACAACTCTTTTCTATTTTAAAATGGTATGAGAACCATCTTTTCTGATTCTTTTGAGTTTATGAACGGAGTACCACCAGTGGAAATCTTTTGAGTGAGTAATATGACAAAACACCCATCACCAGAATCTCTCGATGAATGCAATACCAAAGTAGATTGTGCATTTCATCATGGGCTCACAAAAACTCTTTCCTGTTTTAACACCATGTGTATATATGAAAGAGTTTTTGTTTTGTTTTTGTTGATGAAATATTATAACCTATTTAGAAGAAAAGTAAAAGGACCAACTAGGTGTTACACACTAATATACTAGTAGTATTTAACACCCCTCTCAAAGCTCTGCAGCTTAATAAAACCTCTAAGCTTTTATCAATAAAATTGATGTACTCGTGTAATGTGAAATAACATAACAAAAGGCGAAACCGAAGCCTAAATACGTGGCGGAACGTGTAACTAGTGGCTATAGGTATGGCGCTTGAGAAAGACATTTGGTGTCTAGACTGAAGACTTGGATCATATGAGAGTAGAAGTTGCTCAAACTGCGACGCATAACAAAACTGAGACAACAAAAATGAATCAAATGGTTTGCTAGAAAAGTTCTCAGGAAGCAAAGACGAAAAATGACGACAATGTAAGTGACCAAATCATAAAACTACCACCAGAGCTGCAATTCCCATAGTACCATAGATGTGGCTATAGAAGGCGAATGAGACATTTGACGTTTAGGGTAAAACTTGGACACACCAAAGTAGAAGTAGCTAAAATAGCCATGTATAACAGAAATTCATAAATAATATCGCTGTAAACATAAACAGCTAACACCAGTGACCCAACATAAAGCTATTACCAGATCTTAGCAAGAAGATGATCATGGATCTGATATAACCAACAACTTGGCGTAATATTTTGCTGGGTAAGGCAGCGTATGGTAGACTCACTCCGAGGAGTCCGATGATAGTGAAATTCATGATCGATGAAATACACAGCAGCGTAAATCTAAAAATACTGAAAAATGATGACGGTGGTATGAAGACATGTCAGATATCTGATGGAGGCCATTTTTGTGGCATTGCACAATTGAGGAGATTAAGACTCTGGTGATGGTGTTGTGAGAAAACTTGCTGGAAAGATTTCTGGTAGTGATGCACAGAGGTGACTGCCAGCATTAGTCGGTGATGACAGGCCTCATATGATAAACTCACATTATTATAAATGATGGCTCGAATGCCATGTGAACACAGGAATGTGTGTTATATTTTATTGATGAAATGTTAACACCTATTTATAGGGGGGGGGGGGGGAAGGGACGAACTAGGCATATCACATTAAACACTAATGTAATATTCAACAATCTTACACTTATAAATAAAGATAGAATGATCATTTTATTGTTAATAACACATTCTTTGACAGTTTGATCTCAAGCTCATCGCTTAATCTCTTGCATCATGCCTGAATCCTAGTGCATTGTTTTCTTGATAAAGCTTTTAGTTTTTACTTTGTAGTATATATTCTTGACGTTAGTATGCTAATAATTAAATTAATAACGATCTATTAGTCTGATTTGATGTTTTGGTCTCCCTCACACCCATTTGCAACAGCTACTGGAAGTTGAGCTTGTAGATGCAATGGCATTTTCTATGCAGAAAACCACAGAAGCTTCATGTATTCTTGCCAAATTTGCAGAAGTCCAAGAAACCGTGAAAGACACAAACACAACTATGAGAGAGTTGATGATATCACATGATGCTTTGATGGTTGATAGAAAAGAGCTAAAGGAAAAGGAGGCAAAAGTAAAAAAGCATAGGGACTTTCTAGTTAATGAAAATCAACGCATGCAGTTTACCAATGATCTAATGGACTCGCATATTCGCAGGCTTGAGAAAGACTTCCAATCTGATTTATCAATGGTAACAATGCAGGTATTGGACTTGGAAGTTATATTATCAAATGCCAATAGCTCTGGGAAAGAAGAGTTTACTTCAGTGGCCTCTGACTTCGTTAGCATAAAATCTGACCTTCATGCTGCTACTGAATTGATGAGGTCATGGATTGAAGATATCTGGTATGAGATTATTCTCAAGGATTTTTCCCTGACTATCTTTCACCTCTGCCACTCTGGGATTCTCTTAGAAGCAATAAACGGATTAAATGCAGAAAATGCTCTAATCCATCATGGCCTGCGCGAATCAAATTCTGCAATAGCTGAATTGAGAAACCACAATTTGAAAGTTAGACAAGAGCTTCAAATGTCAAGGACTCTCGAAGGGAAGCTTATGGCCGATATCAGAGGCACTTTTGATCTTATTTCTAGGAAAGAACACGAAACTAGTGAGTTCACATTAAAGCTTGCAACTTTTGAGAAGAAAATGATTGATCTACAGCTTCAGGAGGAGTTAATGCTGAGGACATCTGATCACTTGGGGTCAGAGTTGGCTGAATTGGTGACAGAGATGGATCTTAACAACCAGAATGTGTCCGCATCCCTTCAGGAGGCACGAGAAGCCTCAGAATCTGTAGAAGATGATTTAATTACAAAGGATATTGAGGTGTTCATCTTGTCAATGAAGTTACAGGAAATGGCTGCCTTCATATCTAATTTTGAGAAAATGAATGAGATTAATTCTGAAGCTGCTGAGAACCTAAAGAGAGGAATGGTTCTTCATAACCTGGATGCATCAATCAAAGAAGCAGTATTGGCTGACAAGGAAACTGAAGTTTCTATTTCTAGAAAGTTAGTTGAAGAATCAGGTAAGAAACACCAGAAACTGTTGTTAGATCTTAATGAGAAATCATTAACAATGAAGGATATTGCCTGCTCAAATGAATCATTGAAAAGTGAACTTGTTCAAATGGCTGGAACTAAGGTCTACTTGCAATCACAGGTTCAGAACCTTGACTCTGAACTAGAGAAAGTAGTGGAAGAAATGAAGATTAAGGATTCAGACCTTGAAAAATCTTTAAGTCAAATCTCTGACCTTCATCAACAAAACCAGATGCTGCAGAGTAAAGTTTTATCACTCGAAGAAGCATCACGTAGACTCCAGAAAGAGTTGAAAATGAAAGACACTGCTGATGGTGATAGATTGCTAGATACTGTTTTTTCATCATTCTTAAAGAAATTTGATGAATTAGCGGGAGGATTCCAAAAAGTATGCAGCAATGTGGAAAACTCACCTAGGTTCGTGGAAGAGTTCGAGGTATTAGAGAATCTTGCAAAGGAGATTGTTTCCCAAAACCTTTCCCTTGATAATGAGTTGTGCAGGAAAGATGACATTCTAAAGGGGTTATTGTTTGACCTGAGCTTACTGCAGGAGTCAGTCTCTAATACCAAGGACCAAAAGGATGAAATTGAAAACTTAGTTTCATCTTTACGTGTTTTGGAAAATGAATTAGAGCTGAAGTCATGTCAACTTGATGACATTGTTTCTAAGAGTCTCAAGCTTGAGGCTCAGTTGCAGGAGAACAAGGCCATACTTTTAGATTTAGAGTCAGATGCATTGAGAAAATGTAAGGATGTAGAATTACTCTCTAGGAAAAACGATGAACTATTAGATAGCATCAAGGATGCTGTAGAAGAAAGAGCTTCAATGCAGGAGGAATTGATGGAAAAAAGCAAGTTGTGTGAAAATCTAGAGAATGAATTCTCTGGAATGGAGTCTGCTCTCCTAGAAATGAACAATGCAATTGAATCTCTACAGAGAAACTTGAATCTGATTACTTGTGAGAGGGATGAACTCAGTCAAGAACTTGCTGTTTTGAAGAGGGAGCTTGAAATGGCACGAGCGCTTGCTGAGGAAAATGAAGTGGTTGCTGTCGAAGCTAAAGAGGTAATGTGTGATTTTAGCCAGTAGCTATGCTTTGAGTCGAGTATTTGACTCTTAAATAAATATCTATTATCAACTCTTACGGAAGGTTTGTTAACTTAGTTACTAACATATAAAGAGTGGTTGATGTGCAGCTAGCAGAAACCAGAAAACTATATGCTGAAGAGAAAGAAGAAGAGGTCAAATTATTAGAACGGTCTATTGAAGAATTAGAGTGCACGGTAAATGTGCTTGAAAACAAGGTATTGAATCTCTTAAAAGTTTTTTAAAAATATGGTAAAAAATGGTTTCCCCTCTCATGGCACGGCCAACTTCTTGTCAAGGTTGACATTGTCAGGGAAGAAGCTGAACGACAACACTTGCAGAGAGAAGAACTTGAAATGGAACTGCACGCTATCAAGCAACAGATGCTTGGCATTAAAAGCAGTGATAACACTGATGTGAAAAGGTACATTTGAACAGTTAAGTTAGCTAGAGTTGTCTCTCATTCAAAGTTTTTTAAGTTGTCTATGTAATTAATGTGCCCAGGAATTTGGTTGAGAAGGACAAGAGTCTTCTAGAAGAAACTTGTCAGCGCATCCAAATCCTTGAGAAAGAAATAGCTATGAGGGATTTTGAAGTGAGTTCAGGCCCTATTTTACCTTAAACTTTTGCAGACAAGATACCACTTTTACTTGATAGGCTTGTTTACTTGATTGTCTTTCAACAGATTTCTCAATGCAAGGCTCATATATCTGAGTTGAATTTGCATTCTGAGGCACAGGCCCGTGAGTACAAGGAAAAGGTAATAGCGTGGGCCACTTCGATTTCTTCTAAAAACTGAAGGATGTATTTGGCACGGGTTTAAAACACTGGTAACATATTGATTTCTTGTTGACCTGACAAATACAGTTCAGGACGTTGGAAGCAATGGCTGAGAATGTGAAGTTGGAAGTCCATGCCACCACCCAAGGCTCCAATTCCTCATGCAGCAAATTGGAGAAAAATGGTTTGGTGAAGCCCAGAGGTTCTGGCTCTCCTTTTAAATGCATTGGAATAGGATTGGCTCAGCAATTGAAGTCTGAGAGGGATGAGGAACTAACAGCAGAAAGATTTCGGATTGAAGAGCTAGAGGCTCTAGCTGCTAGCAGGCAAAAAGAGGTAAACATTTTGAACAAAGTAACAAACATATTTTGAGACTCTATTTGATAGCCAGTTCTGGCCTTTTCTACTTATGAGCAGAATAAATAGCAATTTGAGTTACTTATTTGGCTTAAATAAATGTTACCGAGCAATCCTCTTTTCTCAAAATTCAGCCCTATTTAGCTATATAGTCCTTACTAAACGGGCCCTATATTTGATTTTTTTACATGGCAGATATTCGTGCTTCATTCGAGATTGGCTGCTACTGAAAGCATGACCCATGACGTGATACGCGACCTTTTGGGACTCAAATTAGACATGAATAACTGTGTGGTAAGTTTATACGATTAAAAGACATCCTGATCAAATCATATGATCATTCTTGTTCTAAGTAAACTTTTTTTATTTTCTTTTCTTTTCTTTTCTTTACTTCCCCCCACTGCCACTGTATTAAGACCTTGCTGGATAACAACCAAGTGCAAATATTAGCAGAGAAGGCTCAGGCTCAGAATGTAGATGTTCTAGCTAAGGTAATTTTAAAAAAGTAGTGTATGGACACTAAATGTGATATTTAAAAGTTAGGTTTGACGACATCTCATATTTGATTTCCTGCTTTTCAGGAGCAGCAGGAAGTATCTAAGCTGAAGCAACAGTTGAATGAATTTGTTGAGGAGAGGAAAATGTATATATCTTTCAACTAAAAATTAACAACAAAAACCCTCAGATTTAAAGCATCTTCTTCTCATGCATTTCGATTGGCTTCAATCTTTAAATATGTAGATGGGTTGAAGAAATTGAGAAAAAACAAGCTCAAATGGTGGCTACAAAGGTTGCATTAGAGGAGTTGCATGAGCGGGATCAATTGCTTACAACTGAAAATGAAATCATCAAGGTAAAAAAATCAGCAGGCCTTTGTGTAGTGTATAACATAGTTTCTAATGTGTTGGCTCAAAGCTATAACTCTTCCCAACAAAATTTGCTAAATGTGTCGTAGAGGGAGAACATTAATCACAAGAAGAGGGTAATAGAACTTGAAGCTGAAGTAAAGAAACTAGCTGGCCAGCAAAACCTCCAGCAGCGCATTCATCATCATGCTAAAATCAAGGTATGTTTATTTGGATGCAGTCCTTTTTACATAGAAGTCTCATAGGTTCCATTTGTTTCTGGTAAACTATTTTATTGGAAAATGCACCCTGACTTTCTGTGTTTGGCTACAGGATTTTTATATTTTTTAGAAAATATTTCTCTTTGAAATTTATTATACTACATATTATATTACACCTGGAACAACTTACTTTCCTGGATAACATTCCTCACAAGTTTTGTAGAAACAAACGGAGCCTTAATAATCATTGAAATAACAGGAAGAAAACACATTGCTGAGGAGTCAGAATGATGATCTTAGTTTCAAGCTGAGTAAAACAGAGGCCATTCTTTCACGCGTTCGGGAAGAGCTTGCTCACTTCCGTGCATCTTTTAATGGGAGATGCCCCCAAATCAATTTGGACGAGGAGCAGCAGTTGAAGACTAAATTGAAGGTTTTTTTTATAAATATTTTAATAATACCTCATAGCTTGGGTAACTAAGTAACTTAATAGTAATAACTTTAAACAATAGGAAAAAGAAGAAGATGGAGTACAATTGGCTGAGAAGTTACGAGGCTTGTGCTCTAGTGTGTTGAAAGCTGCTGGGATAAAAAGAAGAGCAGTAGCAACATCATCTTCTGAGGAGGTTAGTCTGGTGTACATGGCTGAAGAAGCACTTGAACAGCTTAAGAACAGAGTTGTTTCACTGGAGAATGAATTACGCGATTTTAAACTCAAGGTCAGTAATAAAGTGGCAATGTTTCATGAAATCTTTCCAGCACATTTGCATAAATGAAAAAACTTCCTTCATAACTAAAAAAAAACTACTCTGTATTTCTTTTGCCAGAGACTGTCTGAGATGATGCCCCAACCCCAGCCGGTGTCTTCAGGTAGAAGAAGTTCAATGGCAGATGAGAATGGTCAAAACTACCCAAATAGAGCAATTCTCACTGCTTTAAACAGATGATGATGTCAAAGATGGGGTTTTGTTTATTGGAAAGATTGGTTAGCTGTCCGCTAGCGAAAAGAAGAGAGGCCAACCGTGGATGGTTATTGTAAATATAGTTTGTTTTGTACCTGCCTACGTCCAATGTGAGAAAACATTAATGATTTATGTCTATAGTGTACATCCCATCTGTTATACTGCATAGGATTTCTGGCTCTCAGAAATACAAGAATACAATATGTACAAAAACTCATTTTTCATAGCAAAAGATAGTATGTTTGTCTTGTGTAGTGTAGATATTGATAACTAAATTAGTGTTGTATGATAATGGATCAGAATGCTATAATTTCTTTTTTAGCTTTTAATTAATTCAAACACGATGTTCAACACGTGTTAACGTTATTAATGAAAAAATGACTAGCATAGTGTTGCCTGTTGGTTGATCCAGTCTTGTTGTAATAACCAATAAGGGACCAAATGACTAAAATCAGGTTTATCTTTAATTAGGTTAAGTTATATAATATGGAGTAGCACATATTATCTCTGGTTATTTGCATGTGAAGGGTTTAAAGTTGATGTTTTATATGTAGTATTTGTATTGATTCAATTGGCTGGATTCGTAAGAAGTGTCAACTTAGCATATTAAATTGCTAGTCGTTACTCCCTTTAATGTTATCATCTCACACATGTTTATATACTTTTTAGCTTTTCCTGAGAAACTTATTATATATCATACTAGTCAATCAACCCGTGCATTAGAATTTACTTTAAAAGTAGTCTGTTTGATGAGTAACGAATATATGTTTTGGTATAAATACAAATTGAAGATATAAAAATGTGTACGAAAGATGTAGTTCAAGAGCAAATTTAAGGAAAAAACAACTCACGATTACCTAAACACAAAGCAATATGGTCATAAAGCTAAGTGTATACAAAATGAAGGACCATGCCCAAATAGGCTCAATCATGTCCTGAAATTCCAAAATTCTTTATTCTATGTTCTTATTAATCTGACCAAAAACCCCAAAAGAAAAATAAATAAACACTCCTAGGAACAACACATAGCTGCATTATTACATGTCTACATGGCTTCATAAGTTACATTTACAAAATCCTACATACTAATTTGATACCTCAATTCAAACTATAGTGCACCCCGCCCTTCCTGAAAGTGTTTGATTGTCTTAGTCATCCGTAGTTACGTCCTTGATCAGACATAAGCTCTAGCTAACCCCCACCCTCAGGCCTCACCCATGTCTCTCTCTTGGATTTTCTACAACATTTCATCCCCAAGTGCTACTGAATCACCTTATCGAAGTTTAACTGCTGACTCCTCTGCACCTCTCTTCTCTCTACCTCATAAACCTGTAACCAGATCCCAAAATCATATCGACAAATCAAACCCCAAAATACATTTCCATGCACTTGGATTCATATTTGTCATAATTTTTATTAACATTTTGAAATATTTATTTGGAAATTTACTATTTCTATATTTCTATTTCTATATTTTTTTAATTTCTATGAATTTTTAAAAAATCTATAAATTTTCTCATTCTATTTTTTCGTGAAATGAACTACTAAAGGAGGTCACTAGAATTGATAGATTAATTGTGTTTACAAAGAGCGTGCGTATATGATAAAATGATTGTTTTACAATTCTAGCGTCCAAAAAGTAAGAAAGAGAGCAACAGATCCACAAAAAGTAAAAAAGTGAAATGATAGATAAAGGTCCAAGTAGGAAAACAAAAAATTAGTGGGATCCAATTTATTCATATTTTTGGAATAATGCAAAAAGAAAAGTGTATCTTACAAAATGGGATACATGAAGTACTTTTTTAGTAGAGTGTCAAAGTGATAAATTAGGAATCATAAAAGGTGTTATCTGAATCTTTTCACTCTTCATTTTGATATTTCGTGTGCGAGTCCTTGTCATTGTTGGGTTTGACTGTCTGTGCAAACCGAACTAGTTATGGATAGACTGAGACCACTATGTAAGTCGTGATGACTGTAAAGTGTATACTAGTCAATCTTGGATTTGTTCATGACTTAGTAATAAGAACATTTCCTGTTTCATTGATTTATAATGACAAATTGATCAAACTCATCAAAGTATAGAAAAATAAATACATGTATTTTAATGAGAAATTTTATATATTGCATAAAATATGAAGAAAAGTGAAGATTTTTCTATTTTAACTTAGATTACATATAATACATATTCCATAATATTATAATAAATAAAGGCAAAAGAAATATTGATGATTACTCTTAAAGAGTTCAATCTGGGGTAACATTAAAAACTCCATCTTCGAGTTCCAAATTGAGATTGACATAGTTACACAAAAAGCTATTTTGCGAAGAAAGACCCGTTGAGCACCTAACATATAAGTTATAATAAAGTTCTAAGATAGCAAAAAAAAACAAACTTAACAAACTAATTACATATAAATATACCCAAGATGAAACTGATGCATCTCTTTGTATGTACTGTCATTGATGGAGTATATGACCTAAGAACCCCCGGTCCACATACTTCCAATACTACGATAAGACTCAACAGGTCCAAGTTGGCCCAAGCACGACAAACAAGATTCCAGACAGCCCATACTATGCAAGGTATGCCTTCGGCCCCAGGCCCGAAGGCTCTATACTAAGCAAACGGTTCAACCTGGTCCAGAGACATCACTGGGGAACAAGGCTTGAAATTTGAGCCTTCGGCATTTATAGCCTTCGGGACATGATGCCCCCGGCTATGTATAGCCTTCGGCACACGAAGGCCCTAGTACGCACAACCAAAGACGCTTTCCTCGATAGGATCTCCTCTCCACATGCGCTGAATCACCGCATTAAATGCAACGTCACACCCAAATCACCGCATTGAATGCGGCCACATACACATGTCAGCGCCACCCCGGCTGATTTGACCCCCCATCCGTTGGTTGCTTGACACGTGTCCTTTCTATTATTGCCCTAACATTTATGGCTGCTATAAATAGCATCCATTTTCCATTGTAATGACAACGCAATGGATATATCGAATATATATACTCACTCTCTCTCTCTCCTACTTGCTCTGACTTCTCTCTAAGTTATTTGCCGTAATAACCCTTCGGATAAGCTACACCGGTACACTATCCATCGGTCATAAACAAAAGAGGCATCCCTCCCTTTCCAATGATCCACATCTTTCATATTATGCTTAGAAACTTAAATAATACTCCCGTAATATTTTAAAAATACTACAAAAGAGGTCTCCTTCCCTTTCCAATGATCCATGTCTTTTTTATATTGTGCTTCGCAACTTGAATAATATTTTAACAATACTTTTTGTTTATGAAGATAAATGGCAATTACTACTACAACACCGTCAACAGGAACACTAATCATATCATATATGACTGGTTGTTCAATTCCAGTGATATTAATATAAGTTAGTTATAGGTATTTCTTCTGGAGTTAGTAGTTGGTAAATTGCGTCTGATCATTGTATTTATATTTTTATCTTGTTAGATTTTTCTTTCTACTTTATTGCCTCCATTTCAAACTATATATACATATAGTTGTTACTTGTTATTATTTCTATGTTAATCAAAACCACATAATATTACCCTCAAAAAAAGATTATAATGAGTCATTTATTTCTGATGGTCCCTCATAAAGGTAAAAGTCTAGAGGGGGGTGAATAGACTTTTAAAGTTTTTTCAACTTTAAAACGTTTCTCCCTCTAAAGAGTTGATCTATAATCTTTTGGGAGATTTATAGATGTACAACGGAAGTCTTTAACCTCTTAGATAAATAGTGTATAACACTTTCTTTGATGGATGAAGTTTGGGCTTTATAAGGTGAGCAGTTGGCTTGGCAGTTGGCTAGAAAGCAGGCAACTGCTGAGGCAACTGCTAGCGAAATACTCATTGTATGATGACAGTGCACTCAGAATCTTTCTCAGAGTGGGAAGAGCTTTCTGATGATATAACAGGGTAGATTGAGAATCAACCTTTAATGAGAGCAGTGGTCTCAGCAGTTGGTTGGTAACCAAAGAACTGTTGAGGCACCTGCTTAAATAAAAGTGAAGGTATGGAAAGATTGAATGTATGGTGTTGCTCAGGATGATGTGGGCATTCTGAAGATGTGCATTAGTCCAAGTAAGTGGGAGTTTTACTGGAGCAGTGGTCTGAGTAGTTGGGTGATAGTGAGGGAACTGCTGAGGCACCTGCTGGGTTACCACTTTGAATTACAGTGATCAGTTTGAACAGACTTCTTGGAGATAGAGTTGTGAAGGTCTGGTGAAGTTGAGATGTTCAAAGGAAACACTTTTGCGTGAGCAGTGAGCTTAACAGTTGGGTAGTCACCAGGGGACTGCTGAGGCAACTGCTATGCCTTAAGTAGGATTTCCTGAAATCTAATGGAACAGACCTTATAGTTGTGATATTGTAAATCTCTTGTATCTCAAAGAAAGTGAGTTATTAAGCAGTAGGATAAGCAGTAGGGTCAAAATCAGACTACTGCTTAGGATGCTGCTGGCAAACTACAATCTTTTATAAGAAGTGTTCAGTGTGTGCTTTGTTGACAGAAAATAAATCAACACACAGTATATCCTGGTTCAGAGGTGGTGTAATCCTCCTACATCCAGTCTCATCCTATTTCAAATGGATTTCACTAATGTATTAAGCCCAATTCACTTAGTGCCAATCTAGCATTGACAACTCTGGCCTGGATTGATCCAGTGGGGATCAAAAGGTACTCCTGACCTATCTAACCACAGTCAGGCCGGGAACAACTATCCTCCTGAAGTGTAACAACATCTAATTTGGTTACAAGAAAGTTCTAACCTCCAACTAGGAACTAAACTTTTAGGATTTTAGCAATGAACACTTGATACTAAGAAGTTTAGTGAAGCAAGAGTCTAAGCAGAGAGTCGCGGATAGAATAGCACTTTTTCTTTTGCTAGATATTTCGTGAATGCTCAATAGAAGTATCTCTCTGCTTAGGATGCTCAAGCTTGGTTAGAAACTTTCATTTCAGCCTATATTTATAGGCTTCTCCAGTTGATTAATCTCATCTGCTGGTTAGGATGGATTAATCCTGTTCGTTGAAGGTTGACACAGACGACTTGTACATTCATCTTGTTGTGCTGGAGCTTTTAATGCGGCTGTCTTCAATAATCTTTTAGCCGCTGGAACATCTCTTCAAGATAATCCCATATGTACGTCTTCAATGCTAAGGACCCCAGTACAAATTTAGCATTCAATGCTAGTCAAATTTTGTCTTCAATCATATACATTCAATGTATATGATTTTCGAGCTTCTTTTCGTCAAAACATGTGACATTTAATTAATCTTTGAGCTAAATAAATATATGTCGGTAGGATCTAAATATCCTATTAAG